ATCATTCGGGACACCATATAGACAACAGGTGCCTTTACTCACTATATGTATAATTACACCTCCCTTATATCCTCCTTATTCCTCTGACATGAAACCATAGGCTATAACTTAATGGGATAGTCTATATTCCATGATTTTCCTAGCCTAAACACTTGTAAGGGGATTACTTGGCCAAGACGCACCCAACTCACTTATGGAATATGATTTTTCTCATTTCTCACACTATGGGGTGTCATACACCTTAAACTAGCCTCCTCATTAAATCAATAGATATCTAGCTAGGTTAAAGTCCTATGTTGAACTAATGAGACAGTCCTTCATTAAATAAGTGGGACAATATGGATATAATCAATTCGACAAATCATCTCACGGATAGGCCTTATCACGTGGATTTTATCATCTACTCCTCTTCCTAGATGAATCCCTGCCTTTCAAGATCATGCAATGCACATTCATGCTATAATTCACACATATATAGTTCATAAAATTTCACATTTTCAATTTTCATTGAACCTCATCTTACACATTATTAAACTTCTTAAAACACATTTTTATGGAATTTCAAACCAAATAAGTCATTAAACTCTAACTTTACAATCATTGTACTTCACACTTTCAAAATCATTGAACTCTAATATTTTAAATATCATAGAACTTCTCATAAACAAAGATTCATGTTACTTCTCAATTCACAAAATCATTGAACTCCTAATAACAAAATACAAAAATCCACCAATATTGTTCTTCAAAAAATTTTACATAACAAGGTATAAAATTCAAAAATTTAATCTAGTAGATTATCTAACAAATCAAGCCACACTTGCATTTCTTTTTAATTTACATATTTCAATGATAAATCATAAATTCATAAAATAATAAACACAAAAAAGCATAAGATAAAATTCTCCAGTTATCTCAAACCTTTGAGAGGCTAAAGGTTTCACCCCTTAATTACTTACTCCTAAAAATTTTCAAGAAGCTTGAATGGTGCTAATGGTGGTAACTTTACAAGCATTTACCGTGCAAAACTTTAATATTCATTTTTGAACTATTTTCTACTAACACTTTATCATTTCTTAATACTCAAGATTTATTCTTAACTCATGTAAAAGTACCCATAAGGCTTCTTAGCTTTCTTTAACTCTCATTAATAATATTGAGCTCTTAAATGGTTATTAATGAAATCACATTGTTCCTAACCACCAAATTTATGAGAATTTTAAACATTTAATGTCCTCCAACTACTAATCATCATAAAACCATTAATACTAAGTTTACTGAGCTCAATCTACTCCCATTAACTCTATTTAAGTCAAGAGATTTAGACCCATATCTTTTATGGACCAAAAATTACAATTAACAATCAAACTCTAACTTCTACCACCAAGAAAATGGAAGAAGAGAGGAAGATATAAGTAGAAAAGCTTACTTTTAATGTTTAAGAGCTTCAAAATACTCCTAATACTCAATTCTCCCAAGCCCTAGCACTACTCCCTCACTACTCTTTCATTTTATTTGTTTCTCTCTTCCTCTTCTCTCTTTCTCTCATGTAAATACGAAGCTGATATATCAAAATTTTGGCCGTGCGCCGCAGCGCACATTGCCCTCTGTCACAACGCATGGCATAGAGGAGCCCGTTGGATTCAAATCTGCCTCTGTGCGTCATGACAACTGATCATGTGCTATGACACGTGACACAGAGAGCAAATCTTCACTTTTTCATCCTCTTTCTTTGCCTGGGTGGCCTGCCATCGATCAGAACCCACTTTTAGGGCTAAATTCACAACAATTACACCAAGTTAAGTCCCTTTAGCCATACACCTCACTAATACACTTATTTGGTCTATTTAAACTTAATTAATCTTGATTTAAAATTGGGGATGTTACATCTTGGGTGATTGGGCTTCATAAATATGTGAAAATTTGCATTAATGTGGGTTGTTGGAAGAGTGTGATGCCATTATTAAGAGTTTAATGGCTCATTAATGTTGTTGGAGACTAAAGAGAGTTAATAAAATCAATGAGTAGGCTCAATTATGAGCAATATGGGCATTGGGCGAGTTAGAAGTGGAATGGGAGTTGAGAGTTATGTGTGATCGACATTGTTAATAAAATCCAACTTGATTAATTGTAGATTAAGCTCTTGGACATCAATTTGGCTTTGAAATTCAAGCTTGAAAGTTATAATATTGAGGAGTAAACCTTTAACCTCTCAAAGGTTTGAGGTGACCGGGGAAACCCTATTTTGAATAGTTATTTATTAATTATAATATGAGGTGAATTATGTGTTAAACATGCAAATCGTGATTTGTGAATGGTGTAACATGCAATGAAATTGGTAATTATATAATTGCTTTTCTGTGGATGAAACATGTGAAAAAAATATACTTGTAAAATGATTGGCATTTTATAATGTGGTTTGGGATGAGTAATTGATAATGAGATTGATGAGATGAATATATAAGAATGAGAATGATAGGTTTTATGTGATATAAGTGAAAATAAGAATTGATGCTCACTTGGGTAGCACTTGGTCGTGAGCCTAACGTGTTGACTTTGATATTGAATAAATAAAAATGTGAAAATGAGTTAGCATCATATATGGCATGATCAGTGAGCGAGATTTTACCTAAGGATTGGGAGTAGAGAAAAATTTATATGATATTTAGGCTGCCTTTCGGTGCACGAGGATATATTCTTGTCCCACAATTTATCGAGGGACTATCCTATAGGTTGTCAATGGACTAGAACCTAGCTATCTCTACTAGTTCAAAGAGGAGAATAGCTTAGAGTATGCGACACCCCATAGATTTGAGAGTAGGGAAAACCGTAGTCAGAGAGTGAGTCATGTGATTTTTGGCTAAGTCACACCTTATGATTGGTGAGCTTGGGTAGTCCAGTTATATAGACAGAGCCCTATTCAATGTTATAGCCCACGGTTTTAGTCAGAGGAAATATGGAGGGTATAAGGTTGGTTAATTATTGCCTATGTAAACTTATGACGTGTCACATGATTGTAACGCGGTAAGTCGTATGAATAACGGGTCATGATCACATGTTAAATGTATTGTGACAATGTACTTAGTGTATGTGAGATAAAGATAATATAAAATAAGTAATGATAAGTTATGAAGTATGTGTAAGCATGTTTTAAGAACTTGATTTCGTATGCATGTGGTTAATTATAATTGATATATAACTGCATAGGGTAGGTTTTACCTTAGTTATTAAGTGACTAGACTCACCCCTTTCATTTAACATCTTTTAGGTTCTAGCTCTAGTGCAGAGAAGAAGAAGGCTCAAGAGGTTAGGAATTAGTTCATTCCTACTATATGCCTTTAGTTGATATATATTTTATGTAATAGAATATGGCTGTCAATTTTAGGTTGTATATCGTTGCACTTGTACTATTTTGTTGTTGCAAAAATCTGAGTTTATATTTTGAGCCCTGAGTATTTGTGTATGATGATATATATATATATATATTGATAAGGCCACAATAATAGTGCAAGTGGAAAAATAATGTTTTGAACATGTTTTGATTGGTTTGCATGCAATGCAATGAAAATTATCTCCCCCTTCTATTTTTGGTGAAAAGGGGTTGAAGAGTAATTTTATGCTCTATTGGTATTTAAAAACATGTGACGTGTTGCACTGATAGTTTTAGGTCAAATGGACATGGTCCAGGTGTTAAGAAAGACTTTTGGCATTTGTTGTAATTTTTGGACACATTTTTTGTGTAAAAGTTGTAAAAAGTGGTTAAAATATGTTTGAATATCCATCTTCTTGGTATGACTTATTTTGAAAGTGAAACCAATGCCATTAGCTAGTTTATAGAAATAATTTTTCATAGACACCTAGATCATGTCAATCTGCTGTCATTTACATGCAACATGCCACAACACATGGTGCTTGAGCTGTAGCGCGTGGCACAGAGAGCAACATGCCGTGACGTAACGTGCACAAGCTGTGGTGCATTGCCCTGTCTCACAGCAAACATGTTTTTTTTTCAATTGTTTTCACTCTTCTGAGGTATCTTATGCTTTTGTAACTTGTTTTTACTTTGATATAAGAGATTATAATTGATTTAAACTCAGTTTGATTATGAAAACTTGAGATCCTTTGATTTTGAGTTAAACCTTAGTAATTGCCTTTATGGGTTAATCCTTGATTACCATGAGTTTGTTTGATTAATTGTGATTAGTAGAGTGAGATTTTACAGTATATATTTGTGGGTATAATACACATATACTCACAAATATATACTGTAAAATAAGTTATTTTAGAGTTATTGAAAAGTTATTTTGACCAAATAATTTTTATTACTCAACCAAGTAAATATACCTCGAGAATTCATTTCATTTGACATCATCTCATTAAAATTGACTGAGTATTTTTGTGAAATTTTGAAGTCAATTGAGATAAAGATCTGAGAAGGACAAGTATTGAAGGCTTGAAGCCATAGATATGATACTTAATACCTAGCCTTATAAATTTAGGTAGTCTTTGAATTGATGATTTATATTTAAATTCTAGATTTAAAATCTTACATTTAAAATTTTTATATTTATATAATTTGTTTGGGTAGTTTAAAAATTTTCAAATGAATAATATAGATGAGTTGAGATTTGAAATGAAAATAAAAAATTATAAGTACTGAGTTTACCTCTATTTTCCAGACGATAAGAGACAAAAATGAGATATGGAAATAGATACAAGCATCATAGATGTATCAATAATAAAAAAATGAAGAAAATAAAAGGTTTGAAGTGATTGAAATTTCAAATTATTATAAAAGAATTATAATAATAATTGAATTTCGATATAAATCTATAAATTTTTGTGTATTCAAATAATAAATCAGGTCCAAATCAAAATCTACATTTTCATTAATCCAAACTCAGTATTAAAAAAGAATAAATTATGCTACCGCTGATACGTTTGCTAGTTATTTATTCTTCCCAAAGTTACAATTTGGCCTTCTATCTAATTTGTGCTCTAAACCTCTCGATCCACATACTAATACAATTTTATAAAATGCTAACAAGAACATTGAAGGGCACAAGTAGAATCTTTTTTTTTTTTTTGGTTGCTCAAGCTAAAGTAGAGTAAAATCTTTAGTCCTCCAAAGAAATAATTTTTTTTTTCTTTGACTGCCCAAGAGCTAATGAACAAAAGAACGCAGTTAAAAAAAAAAAAAAAGAATGCAACCAAATCACAATATTTACACTATCTGAAGTATCTCAGTATCTCACACACTCACGCCTCACTAGCTCTTCCTTATCCGCTTAAGCTTCGAAGGATGCTCGCCGCCGCCGCCGCCGCCGCCAGCAGCAGCGGCCATGGCGAGGTCGCGGTGGAGTTGCTCGAACCGAATCCCACACGTTGGAGCCCACAAGGAGAGGAAAATTAAGCTTGGCTTTAGCTCCACGCATCTCATAAGCTGCTCTGTCATAAGCTATAGCTGCATCTTCAGCTGTATCATAAGTTCCAAGCCAAACCCTACCACCATTTTTAGCCGGATCTCTGATCTCCGCCGCGTATTTCCCCCAAGGCCGCCTCCTAACACCACGGTAATGCCGTTCAACCGGGGGCGCGTTATACTTACACGCCACATCAGCATCAACATTGATGCTGTTATTAATGGTGGAAAATTCAGGAACTAGTTCATTGATGCAATGAATGTCATACATTGAACTCTGGCCGTGCAATGGGACGTGGTCGGAAAGTGTTGCCGGATAAGACGGAGGCAAGTCAGCGGTTTCATTGCCGAGAAGGTGCTGTTGGATTGCTTCTAAAGTAGAAGAATGTTCAGAATCATCGGAGAGATAATGGAATCCGAACATGTAGGATTTGTTGAAGTGCTGAATCATGGATGTTGTTGAAGAGGACATAATGCGTTTTGATGAATTATAGGAAGATGACGATGAAGTTGGGTTTGTAGGTGAAGGGGGATTTATAGACTGAAGACAATACGTTGAATAAACCCTAGCCACTTTGCATTTCTTTGAAGCTTCTTCTTCTTCTCCCACGTTTGGTTGCATTCAAGATTCCAAATACATGGACAAAATCACGTGTCTAAATTCATCAGCTTATATATATATATATATATAGAGAGAGAGAGAGAGAGAGAGAGAGAGAGAGAGAGAGACATGAATATAAAGAAAGGATAAAGGAATGCTTCAATTTAAAGCGAAACGATGTCAGGCTTCTCAACTCTTGTTCGAAAAGTTTGACCCAAAAGATGCTCAATACTTTATGCATTCCAAGGTGGTTCAGACAGGAGAAGAAGAAGATGATGAAGATTATTATTATTATTGTTATTGTTATTATTATTAAAAAAATTTTGGTGGGTTAAATGTATTTAGAACTGGTAATTTGGGAAAAGTTGAATATATAAAAAAAAATAAGATTGGGACTTTGGTTGATGTAAAAAATAAAAATAGACTTTGGTTGATGTGAATTAAATGAAGTATTCATGAAAGTGATTCAAATACACTTTTTTTTACTTGAATTTCGTCGTCTAGGACTTCAACAAACATAAAAAAAAAAAAGAGAACAATAATATAAGCCCACTTGATTCTCTTTAATTAACTCTTTTACAAGTCGATCTCTTTTTTCTGTGTCAGAAATCAGAATGGCTGCTATCATACTTTTGTCAGTTCGTTCATTGTATTGGACCAACTTCACTTTCTGGATATATATTAAAAAATAATTTATATTTATAATAATATAATCATCTGAAAGTCTGAAAGAATATTTCGGATTTTGCCAATATCCGAAAACGTTTAATAATAAAGTATGCCCGAAGCGTTTAATAATAAAGTATGCAGAAAACGTTTGATAAAAAAAATATAATTTTAAATTCTCATATTTTATTATATTTTATTAAAAGTTTCTATATTTTTTAGGTATTTTTTATTTTTTTTATTTTAAATCTTTCTAGAAAGAGGCTTAAAATATTAAAAAATAAAAATATAATAATCTAGACACACAAAAAATGTAAATATTTATAATAAAATACAAATAAAGTACAGAAATTTAAAATTATATTGTTTCTTTAATAAAAATATTTATTTATTACGGAGAACGTGTGAAAGAGAGATTAACGTTTCATAAAATTATCAAGAAAAATTTAAAAAATATTATCTATTAATTTTTTTGCCACTACTTATTTATTAGTTCAAGTGGCATGAACTGAAACTTGAATTTTTTAAACAATATTTTAAAAACATTTAATAATCGAATATTATGATGTGCAAAATACACAGTACCAATAATAGAATATTTTATATGATAATTAATCAATCAATATTTATATATAAAACGAAAATCCCTTATTGTCCGTAAATAATATGATATTATTAGAAAATAATATCCTTTAATTTTTTTCAATTCTGTGCTTTTTAAAATTTCAAATATTTTCATTCAATATAGAATAGACGATTTCTGGGGCCATCAATAGAGAAGAACATTTTAGAAGCAAAGAAAATTCAGGGTGTGAAATTAATGTTAGCCGCCACGGTTATTTTAAGAGGAAGTGAAATTAATTAATTAATTAATTAGATGCAAGCAACTTGTAAAGAACTACTTCCGCTCCTTATTATAAAAAACTTTTAATCATTTTACACATATTAAAAGATTTTAAGTTTTATCTTGATATCATAAAAAATTGATACATACTTTTATTTTTATTCTTAATTTTAAATAACAATGCAACTATATTGAATACCTTCACGCTAATTAAAAAGAGGTGAAATTAAAAAAAGTAATTTAATTATTGCAAGGTATTTTATATTTTGAATCAAATATTATTTTTAAAAGGTGTCTTATAATTAGAATTGGAGGTAATGTGTATTATTTTGAGGCTAATTTAGAAGCCATCCTAAGTGGCTCCGACGATAGGTCCTTGAAAATCATTTCTTTTTTTGATGGCTTTAAGAAACTTACCCTCAGCTTACTCATCAAGTCTTGAATGACACTATCAACATCTTAATTTTCGACAATCCTCTACTTGAGTGTCGCATTCTTATTAATCTTCATTTGACCTAATTTTTGTTCTATGATTATCCATGGCCTTGTGTTAAAAAAAAAAAAACTTAGCCCCAAAAAGTATATTTTTTTTAACGGAAAAGAAAAATCCATAACTCCATGTTTATATATAGGTGTGAAAATAGTTATCACTTGTTTTAGGCTTGCCTTTTAATAAATAATATTAAAAAATTTAATAATCGAATATTATAAAGTGCAATATACAGGGGCCTCCACCCTTGCCAATTTTAGGCTTGACCTTTTAATAAATAAACACAATTTACAGTTATGCTATGATATATTCTTGCTATCCTTCTTATAAGTTATTTTTACTAATATCATTAATATAATGTAAAAAAAAGTAAAAAAATATAAAAGTATGTAAAATTTTAAATATATCCATAAATAATAAATTTAAAAAGTGACATTATGTTATTTTCTCTCTCTCATAAAGAGTAATTTTAATAATATTATCTAAAAAGCTGTACAATGACTCATAAATGAAACAAATGAACCTTTTATAATATGCCTTATAAACGGGACTAAAAGGAGTAATACAATAGCATAAAAAGAACACAATTGAAGACATGTTATTGGGAAGCAAAAACAAAGTTTTATTTAATTAAAACTGTGTTTTTTCTTTAAGTTTATTTATATCTTTTTCAAAATATACATGTCACTTTATTTTTAATTATTTTTATTAATCTCCTTAAAAATAATTGGATTGGGTATATACAATAAGTTATTTTTTAGAATATACAAGGTAGATTGATTATACGTTAAAAATAATATTAAATACTATATATTTGCGGGTATACGTACATATAATAAGTTATTTCGGAGTTATTAAAAAGTTATTTTGGCCAAATAATTTTTATCACTCAACCAAGTAAAATATAACCAGAGAATTCATTTCATTTGACATCATCTCATTAAAATTAAGTGACGTATTTTTGTGAAATTTTGAAGTCAAGTGAGATATAGAGTTGAGAACGACAAGTATTGAAGGCTTGAAGCCATAAATATGATACTCAACACCTAGTCTTATAAATTTAGGTAGCCTTAGGATGGATGGATTTATATTTGAATTGTAGATTTAAAATATTATATTTTAAAACTCACATTTAAAATTTATGTATTTATATATTTTGTTTGGATAGTTTAAAAATTTTCAAATGAATAAAAGAAAAAGCTTGAGATTAGAAATGAAAACAAAAAATTAAAAATAGTGAGTTTACCTCTATTTTTAAAATGAAAACAAGAATGGAATATAATAAAAGATACGAGACTTATAGAAACATTAATAGTAAAAAAATTAAAAAAAAACAAGAAGTTTGAATTTTTAAAATATAGAGAGAACTTGAAATTATTATAAAGGAATTAGAATAAGAATTGAATTTGGATATAAATTCACAAATTTTTGTGTATCCAGATAAAGAATGAGGTCCAAATCCAAATTTAAATTTTCATTAAACCAAACTTACTATTAAAGAAGAATAAATTATGCTGCAACCACTGATACGTTTGCTAGTTATTTATTCTTCCCAAAGTTGCAATTTGGCCTTCTATCTATTAGTACTCTAAACCTCCCTCGATCCACATACTAATATAATTTCATAAAATGCCAATAATAACATTGAAGGGCACAAGTAAAATCTTTAGTCCTTCGAAGAATTACAATTTCTTTTTTTTTTTTTAATCAAAGGCCAAGAGTTAATGAACAAAAGAAAGCAGTTCACAAAAAAAAAAAAAAACAGAGAGAGAGAGAGAATGCAACCAAGTCACAACATTTACACCATTTGAATTATCTGTGTCTCACCCTCACGCCTCACTAGCTCTTCCTTATCCGCTTAAGCTTCGAAGAATACTCGCCGCCGCCGACAGCAGAAGCGGCTGTGGAGAGGTCGCGGTGCTTTCGACTCGCTCGAACCGAATCCCACACGTTGGAGCCCACAAGGAGAGGGAAATTAAGCTTGGCTTTAGCTCCACGCATCTCATAAGCTGCTCGATCATAAGCTATAGCTGCATCTTCAGCTGTATCATAAGTTCCCAGCCAAACCCTAGCACCGTCTTTAGCCGGATCTCTGATCTCCGCCGCGTATTTCCCCCAAGGCCGCCGCCTAACACCCCGGAAATGCAGTTCAACCGGGGGCGCGTTACACTCACGCGCCACCACAGCATCAACATTGATACTGTTATTAATGGTGGAAACTTCAGGAACTAGTTCATTGATGTAATGAATGTCATACATTGAACTCTGGCCTTGCATTGGGACGGCGTAGGAAAGTGTTGCCGGAGAAGAGGCAGGCAAGTCGGCGGTTTCGTTTACGAGAAGGTGCTGTCGGATTGTTTCTAAAGTAGAAGAATGTTCAGAGTCATCGGAGAGACAATGGAATCCGAACATGTAGGATTCGTTGAAGTGCTGAATCATGGATGTTGTTGAAGAGGACACAACGCGTTTTGGTGAATTATGGGAAGATGACGATGAAGTTGGGTTTGTTGGCGAAGGGGGATTTATAGACTGAAGACAATACGTTGAACAAACCCTAGCCACTTTGCATTTCTTTGAAGCTTCTTTTTCTTCTCCCACGTTTGGTTGAATTCAAGATTCCAAATACACGGAAAAAATCACGTGGCCAAATTCATCAGCTTTTATATATATATAGACACACATGAATATGAACAAAGGATAAAGAAATGCTTTCATTTAAAAGGAAACGATGTCAGGCTTTTGAACTCTTGTTCGAAAAGTTTGACCCAAATGATACTTAATACTTTATTCGTTCTAAAGTGGTTAATAAAATTATTGTTACCACTATTATTACTATTATTATTATTTAAAACCAGTAATTTAAGAAAGTTAAA